CCTTCCCCGTGTCCCCGGCTTTGCCCTCACGGGAGCCGTCAGATCACGCGCAAACCCACGCGTGTGCGTGGAGGGGCTGTAAGGGCAGCTGGGATAAAGCGTCGTTGTCCCCGACGCGGGGACAGGAGGGCTCCGGGGTGACGCTGCGGCTGCAGGGAGCGCAGGGCTGGGCTCTGGGACTCCTGGCTTCGGGCTCATGGGAAGCTAAATTTGATGCCTCGTAAATTCTTGAGAAGAGGATAAATCAAGGATATCTCAATCATTTTTAAGGATTTTAATTTGGAAGACAGACTAAACCACTGGCTCTGAGTTACAAAAGCCCCATAAGCAGTCACTAATAAGAGCTTCAAACTAAAGGAACAGCAATGCAGCTTGAAAAAAATTCTCGTTTTGCTCTGTGCTAAGCAGCAAGATTAATTTTTGGAAGGTGTTTTTCTTCCTTGGTCAGGATCCTAATTCACATTCATGCGACCTCTGCTTCTGCCTGAGAGCAGCGGCAGGTTTATTCCTGGGTAAATTGTTTCCCAAAAACTTGGGGTTTTATCCTGTGTTCTTCCCAAGGCCAAGTAATAGTCTAAGGAATCACCTGCAAGAAAGCAAACACCCTTTCTGAGGGCAAAGACCTGCCTGGCACTTGGCTGGGAACCTGTTAAACCCACCGTGGGTGTTTGCTTTTCCAGGGCCATCCCAGGGCAAAATTTCAGTCTCAGTTTTGCAGCACCAGGCAGAGGGGATCCTCATTATCCTTCTCAGCTGGCTCTGCAGGTATTCAGGTCTGACAGCACAGGAAGCTCTTTTAGGCCAAGGGTTAAAATATTTGGGGGGAAAAAAAAAAAACAAAAACAACCCAAAAAAACCCAACAAACACCCAAAAACTAATTAACATTGGCAGGAAAACTTGTGTTTCATTTGGATTCCGGGAGTCCCCTTCGCAGCTGCTGTGTTATGGCAGTTTAGGCATGACAAGGGCTATTAGCAAAAACTCTTTTTTTCTTTTTGCCAAGAACTAAATCCCTTTTTGTTGAAGCCAAACATGTTTCAGGTCAAACGCTCAGCTGGTACGAATCAGCACAGCTCCACTGAATCCAAGGAAGTGCAGCAGGAGGCTCTGCCCGGGCTCCCTGCCCTGTTCCTACAGGGGATGTCAGTGAACTCAAGCTGGATTAAAAATAACGTTCGTTATAGAACTAGAAGCATCCTAGAAAATAATTTGCAGGAGAAAAACTTATGAGTGATGGCTTAGTTCCACCTCTTCTACAGTAAGCAGTTGGGTTTGACAGGATGTTGGTTTTACAATTAAAATGAATGGGATTGTTTGGTGCCAAATTGCGCTCAGGAAGGTTTCCTGGGCCGGGGGGGGGGAGCCCCTGGGTGCGCTTGGCTTGTTCTTACAGGAAAGCAAAGCCTGGCACAGCCCTGCAGCCGCCGCTCCTTGATCATTTTGCTGAGGCTCGAGGCCGCAGGATGTTCAGCTCCAGGGATCCAGTTCTGCCTGACGTCCCCGTATGTCTCCCAGCAGGGGTTAGAAATATTTGCTGTCTCAGTCAATCCGAGGAGCACCCCCGGCAGACACCCCCCGCCCCCGTTCTTCCCGCAGCTCTGCCTCTGGGCACTGTCACATAACCTGAGTCTCAGGGGCTTGGGAACAACTTCTGGGCAAGCAGAAGGGCCACGGCAGGCCCAGACTCGGCTGAAGGTTTTGGGTTTAGGCAAAGCGCGTCCCCTCCCGAAAAGAGGCTGGAAAGGGAACTGGGGAAAAGGCGAAGGGCAGAGGCGGGGGTTGCGTTGTCTCCTGAGCGACAGGTCCGGGCAGGCTCGGAGCATCCCCGCTGCTATTGAGTCAGACACGTTGCCTTGCCCAGACGATGGCTCAACCTCTCCCTCCAGATGCGCAGCGAGTCCCTCGCCCTCAGACTGTGCTGCCGCCGGTTCTGCCAAAGCCCCGGCTCCCCCACCCCTGCTCCAGCCCCTTCAGCCCCAGCAGCCAGCCACAGGTCACACCCTGGTCAAAGCCAGGCAAACACAGAGGGAAGGGCTTTTGCAGGGGACAGGAACGAATCCAGATGTTCATTCCTCCTCCCAGACCACAAGGACAAAGGGACCTGCGCTCCCCACCGGCCACTCGCTGCCCCCACGAGCCTCCGCAGCGTGGTCCCCTTCCCAGCCCGGGGGGGGTTGGAGGGCAGGGGCTCCCCGGGGAGCCCAGGGAAGGGATTTACGTGTCTTTGCACCGGGTGTGTGCCAGGGAGGAGTGGGAAGAGCCAAGGGAACGCTGCCCATCGGTCTGCCCGGAGCCTCAGCCCAGGGCCGGTGCTCCCCTCCGCTGCACCACGGGCTGCGGGATCTGGGTGACAACCCATAAATCACGCCGGGGACGGGCAGGAAGAGGTGGACGGTGGGGCAGCCTGTCTGACTCTTCCCACAAAGAGCTCCCTGATACCATCTCCTGCTCGCGCCCCCGAGACCCCAGGCTTCTCGTATCGCTGCTCCGCACGCTGCTGCTGGCGAGCGCCTGACTCAGCCGATAACCGGGGGATTACGGCTCCTCCTAAAACCCGAGGTCAAAAACCAGTTGGAAATTCGGAGCATAATAACCTGCCCTAACAAAGGCCTGGGTGTAGCCCCGATGTGGAGCATCGGGGTCCTTCTGCAGCTCTTTGCGACTGCTGGGGGGCAGTGAGGCAGGGGGTAACGTGTGACCCCTCCATCCTATTTCTGTGAAGCGTAACAGGAGCGAAGTGTTGGGCAGGTCCCTCCCAGGGCAGCTCCAAGTGCTCTCAGCCAGCCCCACAGAGCACTTGCTCGGGTCCCTCCTTCCCCCATCCCAGCCCTGCCACCCCTGCAGATGAAACCATCCTCTCACCCCGCGTGTCAACGGCAGGGGTGGCTGCTTAAAATCTCTTTTCATCTCTCACTTAAAAGAAGAAGAAATTTCCCTGCTTCCTCTTGCAGAGATGCATCTGGAGAGGGCTCGTGGGAGCCCTTTCACCTGAGATTTGGCCTTGGCATTCAGTAGCACACGCAGGTTTGGTGGCTGGAGCCACAGCTTCAGGACGGGGTTGTTTGGAGAAGGCACACACCCCCCCGTGCATAAACACAGAGCTCAGCTACATTTATAGAAACATACGGAAAAAAGAGAAGCCTCCCTCGGCTTCCCATTCCCCTCAGCAGCCCAAACACGGGGCTGGGCTGAGGTGAAGCCCTGAAGCAGGAGGAGAGGCTGCAGCTCCCACCTTCCCCGTGCTGTCGCCTTCTGGGCAGAGCACTGGAGCCATCCCAGGCTGGGTCCGGGCTCTCATCCCCTGGGAACAGCATCCCTCCCGCCCTGAGCTCCTGCCCTGAGCTCCTGCCCCACTCTGCAAAGCTCCAGGGAGCAGAAGTATGTTAAAAGTGGGAGTAATCCCTAAATTATGATAAAAAAAAGGTAATTTATCTGTCTAGCCTCTTCATCATCTGACACAGTGATACAGAGAAGCTAGAAAAACATGGAGTCCTTCAAGCATTTTTTAAAAGAAAAACAAAACAAAACAAAACAAACCCAATTTTCTGGTCAAACTTTCAAAGGCTCAAGGCTTGCAAGCCACTCAAAGCTAATGCTGGTGAACTGTGCAAAAGTGCTGGAGCGGAGAGGTAGGACACAGAGAGCTCCTCAAACACGAACGTCTAACGCCTCCGCCGCTCTGGACCCAAAGTGCTGTAAGTGTTCCCTGCTGTGGAGAGCGGTTTGCTTCAGCTGCTGCAGATCCACCACATCTCTCAAACACCAGGTGTGGGGGCAGCCCCACTTAACCTGCAGGAACAAACCCAAAGGCTTTAAGGCTCGAGAGGGGTCACCTGGGCTCGAGCAGTCCTGAACTACAGTTTGGGCTGGGCACTAATTTTTGGGCTCGTTCCTGTGTCTCTTGGGATAAGCTTTCGTATCAAAACCACACCAGGCCTCTCTCATCCCCCTTTTCACAGTGGACACACTGCACACTTGGCCCTATAAAACCCGGGCTGGGGTGAATCACCAATTTCTTTTTTTTTTTTCTTTTAAAATCTGATCTGAAACTCTTTGGCATTTTGATACGCATGTTCATATTGTCGATTTGCATTAAGTTCCTGGAAAAAAAAAAAAAAAAAGGCTGCAGAGGAAGTAAACCCAGGGGCGTTTGTCAGCAGTGGGATGCGGGGTTGTGCAGAGTTTCGTTCAGGAATGGAAAGCATCCACTTCTCCGGGGCCGTCAGCAGCTGACACTGCTGAGCAGCACAGGAAAAAGGCTGGAAAGAGGGTGTAGATATGACACGGAATTTTCAGGTCATGCTTAAACTTCCGAGGGAGAGAATCCCTCTTCTGCTGGCAGGTCACCACATAAACGTGGTGCTGTTTGTGTGAACCACCCCGTGAGTAGCTGTGGTTGTGCTCAGCTCCCCACGCTGGAGCTCATTCCTGGGCTCCCAGGGAGCCCACCCAGTCCCACCACAGCACCCGCCACGTCCTGGTGTTAGGGGCAGGAATTGCAGCTCAGAGCAGCATCTCCGGGGGCTCTTACTCACCGCTCGATGACGCTGTTGTTGAACTGGAGATCACAAGTTACTGACCTCATCTGCTCCAGCAGCTCCTGCATCCTGCCGGGGACACAACCAGCCCCTTACCCCTGTGCTGCTCAGCCTCCTGCTCCCCACGGAACACCTCCTGCAGAGGGGCTGGCAGGGACCCCCCCACGGGTCACCGAGCGGGGATGACACCAACAGGGACACCCCAGCGGTCACCGAGCAGGGATGACACCAACAGGGACCCCCCCACGGGTCACTGAGCGGGGATGACACCAACAGGGACACCCCAGCGGTCACCGAGCGGGTTCCCCCCCAGCAGGGCCATGGCGTGTGCAGCGGTGAAGGGTTTCACACAGCCCGTCACGGCCCTGCAGACACCGAGCCCTCGCCCCAACGCTCGCCCTGTCGCTTGTGAGGAGGACGAGCAGCGGGAGGTCCCGCTTCTCCCCAGAGAGCTGGGCTGTCTGCAACCCCCCCTTCCAAGAGACTCACCGAAAAGCCATCTCCTGGCGTGCCTGGCTCAGAGGGATGGGTGAAGGCGCGGGAGGAATCGGGGCCAAATTCCATTTCTCCGTCTGGAGAAACCTGTCCAGAGCCTGCAGAGATGGAGAGAAGTGGCAGCCCCTGGCCAGCAGCGGGCTCTTGGCGGCGATCCGAGCCCCGTGTGCCCACCCCGGGACAAAACACACCCACGTACTCACACCCAGCACAGCCACTTCAGGAGAAACAGAATAAAATAACCACAGAACCATCTACCGGGTGGCCGTGCCTCAGGGAGTCCATGGTGAGAGCCGGAGGTGAAGCATCACTGTCCTCCTACGCAACTCCCGGCCTTTGGGTGCGGATCCCCCCGCGCCAGCCCCTCCTCGGGAGCAGGGGTGCTGCTGGCAAAGCTTTACCCGTTCCTTGCTTGTGCAGGGAGGGAAAGCAAGATCCCCAGTGTGGCTCGCCCACAAAGAACTGCAGCAAGTCGTTTAAAACCACCCGGGTGTTTCCGTACTCTACCCCCGTGCTCAGGCACTCGGATTGGGGAGCACCAGCGTTATCTGGGAGTGGGGAGAGGCCGGGCACCAGCACCCCCAGGCAGGAGCCCCCACAGACACCTACACCCTGCAGACAGTCCTGGCACTCCATCGTCTCCACGCTGCAGGCGCTGATGCGGTTGCTGAGCCTCTTCAGATGCTTCTTTATCTCACAAACTTTCCTAGAAAGAAAAACGATGACAGAATTCCCAGTTGGTGCTTGGCAGCAGGGCGGGTCATTATATATTTTTGGGCATTTTGCTCGCTTGCAACCCTTTCTGGATCTAATTTAAAATCCTGAAGGAAAGCAAACGAGTCACAACAGTGTTGTAATTATGGCTGCAGCTCTGCTAATAGCCACCGTAGGCCAGGTTACCCAAACACCACTAATAGCAAATTAATTGGGGGAAGTGCTGATAATGTGAGAGGCAGCTCAAGCCCATCACCTCTGCTGGGACGTGCTGAGCAGGCCGGAGCTCTGTGAGCTGTGGGGGACACTGAGCACCTACTCCAAAAGGCTCCTTGGTTTTGCATTTCTTTTCCCATCTTCTCCTTTCACATTTGGAGCATCCGAAGGTCAGAAATGTTCCCCCTGGAGCCCGTCTCTCTGCAGGCAGCGCTGCTGCCCCGCTCTGTGCCCCAGCCTTGGGAGAAAATCCTCCGGGTTTTTTTTGGGGGCCAACTGCCCTGTTCCTGTCAGGGTGAGTGGCCCCAGGGTGGAGGTGCCACGCACCCGGCAGGCGCGTCGTGACTTGTATAAATAAAGGTTTGGTTTGGCTTTAAAAAAATAAAGAAAGAATATTTGAGGTGAACGGTCCACCTCCAGTCCCCAGAAAAAACAGCCACCACACCACAAACCCTGGCTGCTAGCAGGAAAAAAACCTCAAAACAGGACAATTAAAACTGAAGTAACAATAAATTAAAAATATCCACTTGTGACTCATGCTGCCTTCTCCCTAAGGACAGAAAAACACATACAAAAATACTCCAGAAAAAAACACAAAGCGGGTTTTGTTCCTCCCTGTGAGCAGAGGTAAAAACCTGCTTTAGTGCAGACGGGGCTCCCGCGCTGCACGGGTTTTGTGGGGCTCTATGCCCCAGAGACAAAATTCCCCCCCCCCGAAGCCAAGGGGAGATTTCACTGCCCCATGATGGGACACGGCGGGAGGCGACTTTGGGCAACAGTTTCTGTCCCCGAAGTTTTTAAACCTGCCTGTGGGTGAGGGTTTTCAGCGTGGAAACCTCTGGCTGCACAAGCTGAGGCTGGGAGCGGGGACAAGGCAGGGGACAAGGCAGGGGACAAGGCAGGGGACAAGGCAAACACTGCCCGCTGCTCCTGGGGCATTCCCGAGCACCGGAGACAAACTTCTAGCCTAAAAAAATTCTCCCCCCCAGCAAATCCTATGCAGGGCTACTCCACACAAGAACTAAGGACCAGGTCAAAACCCAGGTTTAATTCTAAGGCATTACAGAAAATCATTCTCCTTCTGCCCACACCGGCAGCCCAGGGGAATGGATGCTCCTCTCTAAAAGCAACCTTGCAATAAAAACCCGATTTCTGCAACATCCTCTTCCCCTAACTGCCTCCCCCTCACCCCTGCGCCTCGCTGCTGTGATAGGCAGTGGATTATGCTCAATCACTGCAAGGTAATTTGCTCTTTGCATTATTCCCCAAACACCAGTTACCAGAAAATCATTCCTAATAAGTAGATCTCTTTGTCTCAATAGCAATTTTGTCCTGATGAAATAACCTCTCCCCATCAGAGAGCGAGGAAACCAGCTGCTTCAACTCAAAAAAAAAAAAAAAAAATTAAAACAACAGGGCAGAAATACATGGCACAGGATAAGAACCCGCACACACAGCGGGATTTCTAGCAGTCACACAGAGCTGCTTCTTCAAGGGTTTATTACCCCTTTACGAGTCCCCCAGCAGCGGTTGCCAACAACATCATCTCCATCCGCATCCCGATACGTGATCAATAGCAGCCGGCGCTCGGAAGCCCTGGTCCTTGGCGGGTTACTGGAAAATCCCCCTCCCATCCCTGCAGGGGTCCAAAACCCTGAAACCCCGGGGGGAGAGCTGGGCAGGGGCTGGTACCTCATCCTGCTGCCGTGGAGGGTCAGGGCCTCCTGGTACCGCTGGACACAGTCATCCTGGAAAATCAACAGAACCTTCCTGGCCAGATGCCCTAAATTCACCCTAAAAACATTAAAAAAAAAATTTAAAAAAAATAAAGACAGAGATTAAGAACACTTATTTCCTTAAACGTATGAAAATGAACATCGCATTTCTCATGGCAGGAGACCTGAAGCTGCCGAACGCAGGAAGAGGGACTGGATGCTCAGTAATGAATTTTGCATTCGTGTTATAAAGAAAACAAACCCTAATTATGACGGAGAGGAGAGGGAGGTTTGGGGCTCCCAGCTGGGCTGTCATCCTCACCCCTGGGGCACTTCTGAGAAGTCTTTGCCTTGGAGGTTAAGGCAAATGTCCAAGGTTAGACTGAAGATAAATTAAGATAAAGGAGCTGCCCGTTAGATTTCACCATCCCTGGTATATATTGAAGTGTGCCTTTTGTTTCTTGCCCGTGTTAAATTCCCCTGGTTTTAGTGGAAACCCAAAGGAGGATTTTTTTTCAAGGTACAAAAGCCATCAGACACTTCACTCCCACTGAAAGTTAAGCAGATCTGAAAGCACAGACACTTCCTGAACCAGCATCTCGGCAAATAAACGTCCACAAACTAAGTTCTGTGTGAGCAATAGCCCAAAACGCGTTTATCCCCACAGTCTAAAGCAGGGATTTGGCCCAACAGCAACTCCCTGTCCCCAGGTCCGCAGAGCTTTTCTCACATCTTCACCCAAAATAGCTCCTAGCTTGAAAATTTTGCTGTGAAAGGGCCTGCATCGATGAACCATCACAGAAGCCACTTCCGAGTGCCCTCTCTCAACATTTGCGACCCAGGAGGAACATTTTACATCCCCTCGGGACTCGGTCAGAAACAACCAACCACCCGCCTGGCCGCAGCGCCAGGGCAGGTCCTAGAAAGGGGAGAGGGTTGGGACTTACTTATCCAGCTTGTGGATTTGTTCCTCATTGTAGCCCAGCCCTGGGGAGGAAAGACACCGGTCACTGCACGTTTTCCTGTTCCTGACCCGATAAAAGGGCAATTTCACATCACGCAGAGAACACTCAAGGGGTTTTTCGGGGCTGCAGCCCCTGGGGCTCGTGTCTATATAACTGCTAAACCCAGCAAATGGAAATAATTCATTTTTCCACCGGGCCAGCACAGGGACGTCCCTGCTGCAGCCCCGCACCTCCTGCCCCCAGAGCCACCGTCCCCATCACTCACGCAGACACGTCCTGGCCTTCTTGAACTGCTTGTAGATCAGCTGCATCTTCTCCAGGCAGCACTCGATCTGCCGGATGCTGAAACGGGGACAGGGGAGGGGGCGTGAGGCCCCGCAAGAAGAGGGGTATGAGGTTGGGGTGAAATTCGCTCTTTGGGGTCAAATCTGAGCGCGATGACACTAGGGGACACAGCATCCGGACATCACATGTACACAGGGACGTCGCGCGATGCTACGGCGGGGCTGTGCCTGGCTCAGCCACGTCCTCTCAATCCGGCTGAGAGCAGCGAAGCGCTGGCGGGGGTTTGGGTAAAACTGGCGCTACCAACCTTTTGTCTTCGTGCACTTGTTGCCTGTGCTTCACCAGTTCAGACAAAACGCCGTCCAGCGCCCCTTGAAAGTCAAAGATGTTGTGGGAGCACTGAGAGAGCTCCTCGGTGACCTGCGGGTGGGGAGGGAGAGGTTGGGGCGGGCTGATGCCAACGCTGCCCGCACGGAGCCGCCCGCGGGGACTCACCCTCTGCAGCCTTGTCTTCACCGTGGTCATCTCCTTCAGAGCCAGCACCCCGCTGCCCGCAGGAACAGCCTCGAACCTGAGGAAAGTCAAAAAAATTAATATTCCTGAAGCAGAATATAAGCCAGAGGCGGGTGTCACCTGGGCAGAGAAAACCCATCCGGTGGTGGAGGCAGCGTCGACCCCTGGGGGAGCCGGGTGGGGGTTTGCGTGGCCAGAAACTCAGTGTTCGGGGCACCGGATCTGAGCCACAAGATGCTGATGCGGTAAAAACTCGCCCTGTTGAGTCCAATTTGTTCCAAAATTATTAGCTTCCTCTCCAGCGGCTTTACGCCAGATCTGATGTCTGCCTCCCGCAGCTGGCACGAGAGCGTAAAGCTGAGTGGTGCGGGCTGGCGAGTCAGCAGAAATAACGCCTGGTCCAAGGGTGTTGGAAGAGAGGGAGAAACCAGCAGCATCCAGCTGCAGCATCAGTGCCCTTGGCACTACAGCCCCCCGCTAATCGGGGTGAAGCCAGCGGGAACCACGTGTCCCTATTTTTTTTTAGATGAAGTGGAAATTAAGAGACTTGGTAAATTGAAAAGGATAAAAGAACAGCGGCCCAGCGGCAGAGAATTTTCCACTACAACAGCAAAACAGAAAAGCAAAACAACTGTGGGTTACTTGAGATAAAACGGGCCCAGGTTTCCCCGGGGCAGCGCGGGTGGGATGGCTGCACGGGCTGCGCCGAGGACAGCCCAGGGTCTCTCTGACATTCGGCGGCTGATGAAGGTGGAAACAAGAGGCGTCTCCTCCCGGCCGGTGGGGTCAGGCAGGATCGGGCTCAGCGGGACCCCAGCACGATGTCGTGGCTCTCCGAGGCTGAGGGGAGCGGGGCCGGTGACAGTGGCCAGAGCCCAGAGGGGACCTGGCAGCTGATGCCATCCTGCCCGGTATTTTAACTCCGCTGGCAGCAGCGGCTCTTTTTCCCTTTCCCACGAGCTGGCGGCAGCAGCCCCGTCTCCTTCCTGCACTTTGCGGCTCGTGGGCTGTAACAGCCTGAAAACCCTGAAGCAGGAGCCAGGGAGGGAGGACTCCCAGGCTCCTGTGAAACCAGGGACTGGTTATTAAAAGCTGAAGCAAAGAGGGAGAAAAAGCCCGAGCGGCCCATTTCCCGCAGCCGCCACATACAGCTAAAAACCCTCTTACCTTCCAGCTACCAGCTTATTCCTGGAATTTTACTACTTATTTCTGATTATTTGAGAGTCCCGTATCTTATCTGCAGCAGCCTCAGGACAGCACCGGTGCCTGCCGCAGCCCAGCGGCTGCAAAGCCACACTTACAGCACGCGGGTCTTCACCTCAGTGAGCTGCAGGCAGGCGAGCACCGAAACAGCCCCTCGTCTCTGTTCCAGAATCCTCAGGCACTCCATTTTCAGGTTTCCGCTGGCAAAAGAGAAAAAAAAAACCCATCCAACACGTGCTCCCCGGCAGCCCCACCTCCATCCTGGGGCCAGCCGTGCGTGCTGGGGGGTCAGGATAGAGCTGGTGGCTCCTCTCTGTGTGCTCGTGAGAAAATGGGGGGCTGGATGCACGTAAAATGGGGCGCAGCTCCCAGGCAGGGGGGCTCTTGCCCTCTGGGTACTGTCCTGCCAGGGCACAAGAAGCTCCTGCCCTGAAGGGAACGGGTAGGACAGTGAAAATGCACAGTGATAATAGCAATAATAATGATGAGTAATAATTAATAATAATAGTAGAAGTAGTAATAATAATAATGATGATGCTGCTCTTTTCCTCAGCATCTCCTAAACGGAAAAAAGTGACTCAAAAGTAACAAATGGGGACAGGAGCATCCTCACGACACTAACGGTTATTTTCCTACAGGTCCAGCCCCCTCGCAGCCTGGCGCACGTGTCCCTTGCACGGGACCACGCTGGCCGTCGCGCTGTGCTCCCTCCCAGCACCCCCTGACCACATCCCAGCAGACCCACTGGTCCTGCACTGCCTGGCAAAGGCTGGAAACCCGCCCCCCCCGAGCGCTTTAACTGCTAACACACAAATCTGCCGGTGCTGGGAGGGGACGGGTCACCCCCACCCTCACCCCGGGGGCTCCGGCACTCACATCACCCACTGGAGACCTCTGGCCAGCAGCTCCCGGCAGCGCCGCAGGGCCTGGGCGATGCGCAGGGTCTGGTGTGCGGCCCCCACCGCGCTCTGCGAAGCAAAGGGCACTGCCGGCGGCTGCGGTCCCACGGCCGGGGGTCCCCCCCCGCCTCCCTGAGCAGCACTGACACCCCCCACCTACCTTGGCTGCGCCGCAGTCGGCCACCATGTCCACCTTGGGGACAAACTTTGGAAACTCGAGTGCCGCTGGAAAGACAGACAGCGGTCACGGCGCTGGGGGGAGCAAGCCTGGAGCCCCCACACTGCGGCTGCGGACCCACGGGGACAGCTCAGCCCCGCCGAAGCAAACCCCAGAGCCCCTCGGGGTGTCGGGCTCAGGAGTGGCTGCAGTGCTGGAGGCTTCCTGCAGCCCTCCAGGATATTTTGGGGACGTGGACAAAGGCACAAAGCGCCTGCAAAGGGCAGCGTGGTGGGTGGCCACGGACCGACAGCGCACAGCAGGGGAAAACGGGCCCCCAAACCTCCTGATCCTGCTCCGGAATCACAACCCCTTCACCTGCTGTGCACGGGAGTCTATGTAGGACAAGAGGGAATGGCCTCAAGCTGCCCAGGGCAGGGTCAGGCTGGCTCTGAGGAAGGATTTCTGTGCAGAAGGGGCTGTTGGGCGTTGGAATGGGCTGCCCAGGGCAGGGGGGAGTCCCCAGGATCCCTGGGGGGGTTGAACAGTCGGGCTGAGCCAGCACTGAGGGATCTGGGGGAGTTGGGAACGGTCAGGGTGTTGTTCATGCTTGGGCTGGATCATCTACAAGGTTTTTTCCAACCAAGATGATTCTGTGATACTAGGAAAATAATTCAAGCAGATCTCTCTTACAGCACCCGCCCTGCGTGCCGTGAGGCATCTCCAAGCCCACAGTACTCACGGTCTCTGTATCTCACTCCTACCACATCTTCTGGTTGCTCAGCGGTGCTCAGCAAGGTCAGAGGGTTGTGCTCTGTGGTTTTGCAGAAATTATGAGCTTGCAGATTAGGATCCAACTCATACAGATGACCCTCAAAAAAATATTCTTGATGGTGAGGGGCTATATTTGTTTGTTTGAAGACAGCATCTAAAAACTTGGTGGTACTGGAATGGAAAAGAAACAAAAGAACAGGGAACAAGCGATGAGGTCAGTTTTTATGGTCTGTTGCCCTCTTTGCGTAGCAAAAGGTCAGTGGGGCCCCTCGATCCACCTCCCTGGGGCTCTCCATGTGCCAGGCCAGGAGCCGACATCTCCCCGTTAGTGCCCTCCCCAGCAAAGGCTGGTTTGAGCCTGGTTTGTTTTAACCTGGTTTAACTGTGGTGCAAAGGGAATGGGCTCTCCCCTCAGGTTCACCTACTGAATCAAGGGGCTGGGGCCCCTGAGCTCAACTCCCAAACTTGCGTTTGACACGGCCCTGACACCCTTACGTGTTGTAGGAGTGGATGTAGATGCGATGCAGGGAAGCCTGCTGCAGGGAGAAGACATCGACCACGATCCTGTGCAAAATATCGTTGGTTTCTGCAAAAAACTGGTCGAATCCCCAGCATTTCTCCTGATCCACCTCCAGGATGTTAGCCAAAATGGGTATCAGCTGGTCCTTCAGCCCCCTGCAGCAGCAGAAGAGATGTTTGCACAGACCCGCAGAACCCTGAGCCATAAGCGCGGTGACCGGGGGGGCCGGCGAGGGGTGCAGCCCCTCTCCTGCAGCCGAGCTCCGGTACCACGGGGCCGCTGCCCTGTCTCCCACCCCCTTTTCCCGGCTGCAAAGCAAAGACCTGGTCTGAGAGCTGTGACATCTGCGGATGAAAAGCTCCAGCCGCGGTGCCAGGACGTGAGCCCGGCACAGGACACTCACGCGGAGAGCCGGCAGGTGATGGGCAGCTCGTAGCCCCACTCGATGCTCCCGTTCTCCTGCCTCTGCACCCCGGCGATGGCTCCGGGAGGCTTCTCGGTGGTAATTTTATACCTGTTGAAAGGAAACTGCTTGCAGCTGAAATGAGCCGAGTGGCCTCTGTTTGAGCCCTTAGGTTCAGCAAAGAGGGAAAGGGCAGGCTGGGAAAGACACGATTCACCAACAGGAAAAAGACGCACAGAGGAAAAATACAGTCAAAAAACTTTGAAGCAAACATTAACCCTGCTTCCTCCTCCAGCTGTTTAGCCACAAAGTCACAAGAACGCATTCTGAGGGCAAGCGTGGTAAACGGAGCACAGATCCTTTACCACACTGCACACACACGCTCTCCACGGGCTCCGTTTCGGGACTTTCTAGGCTCTACGGGATTACACGCGTTGTAAACCACAGCACGTAGTCACACAGTGCCCGAGCCACGGCCAGGTCGCCCCGCAGCCCCACGCAGCAGCCCCCATCCTCCCCGCTGGACGCGGCACCTACATGATCTCCTTGTTCCTGCGGGGTCCCCCGAAGGGGATGAAGGGGAGGCTGCCGGTGGCAGCGTGGTAGAAGGTGACGCCGATGCTCCAGAGGTCGACGGTGACCCCGTACGCCTTCTGCTGTGGCTTGCGCAGGACCGCGCGCTCGTACATGTCCGGGTGCTGCAGGGGGGGAGCAGAGAGCGGCGCTGCCTCAGGCGCTGGGACCGAGACCCGGCCGCTGGCTTCGGCCTCTCCTACTGCTGGATCCTCCAAACAAAACGTCGCCTGGAACTCTAGCACAAAAATGCTGAGCCCCCCTTTTTACAAAAATGTGGCTGCTTTAAGGTTGGACTCTCCGGGTCGATGCTGCTCTCTAGACGTTGGATGGAGGGATGGGGAGCAGCTTCCCCCAGGGTCACCAGAGCGGTGTCAATCCCAGAATCACTGAGGTTGGAAAAGCCCCTGAAGCTCCTCCAGCCCAACCCTGAACCTCCCCCTGACCGTTCCCAACTCCCCCAGATCCCTCAGTGCTGGCTCAGCCCGACTGTTCAACCCCCCCAGGGATCCCGGGGACTCCCCCCTGCCCTGGGCAGCCCATTCCAACGCCCAACAGCCCCTTCTGCACAGAAATCCTTCCTCAGAGCCAGCCTGACCCTGCCCTGGGCAGCTTGAGGCCATTCCCTCGGGGCCTGGCGCTGGGGCCTTGGCTCCAGAGACTCA